GTGGGGTGGAATCTCAGCCTTGTTTTCATTTGCATTTCTCAAATGACCAGTGATGTCAAACATTTTTTCATATGTTTATTTGCTATTTCTAATTCTTTGTCTGAGAAATGTCTGCTCATTTCAGATGACCATTTTTGGACTGGATCTTTAAATTTGGGAGATCTGATTTTTTAAGGTTCTTTATATAGTCTAGATAGTAGGCCTTTGTTTGATGAATTGCTGGTGAAAATTTTTTCCCACATTGTGGGTTCTCTTCACACTGTTGGTGGTTTCTCTTGCTGTGCAGAAGCTTTTTAATAAGAAGAGATCCCACTTCTTGATTGTGCTAGTTCACATGCAACTGAGGTTTTGTTCATAAAATCTTTTCCTATACCAATGTCTTCAAGAGTTCTACCTAACCTCTCTTCCAGCCGGTTTAGTGTTTCTATTTTAATATTTAGATTTTTAATCCATTTCTATTTTAGTTTAGTGCATGGTGAGAGATATAGTTCTAGTTTTAATCTTTGGCAAGTTGAAACCCAGTTTTTCCAGCACCATTTATTAAAGAGGCTATCTTTGCTCCAGTGAGGGCGTTTGGCTCCTTTGTCGAAGATGAGGTGGCTGAGTGTGTCTGGAGCTGTTTCTGCATCTTCTAATCTGTTCCACTGGTCCTTAGATCTGTTTCTTTGCCAGTACCATGCTGTTTTTATCACAATAGCTTTGCAGTATAATTGCAAGTTGGGGATTGTGATACCCCGGCCATATCTCTGTTACCTAGAATTGCTTTTTCTATTCTGGGTTTCTTCTTGTTCCAAATAAATTTTGGGATTGTTTTCTCAAGGTCCATGAAATATGCTGCTGGGATTTCAATTGGGATTGCATTAAATCTATACAGCAGTTTTGGAAGTATGGCCATTTTCACTATGTTGGTTCTTCCTACCCAGGAGCAAGGGATGTCTTTCCATTTTCTGATAACATCTTCAATCTCTTTTTTCAGAGTGCTATAGTTTTCAGAATAGAAGTCTTTGATTTCTTTTGTTAGATTGATTCCTAGGTATTTCAGTTTTTTGGATGCTATTGTGAAAGGAATTGTTTGTCCCATTTCTCTCTCAGTATCTGTTGTTTGTGTACAGGAAAGCTATTGATTTTTGTGTGTTGACCTTATATCCAGCTACTGTACTGAATTTGGTTATTAAGTGTAGAAAACTTTTGGTGGAGTTCTTGGGGTCTTCTATAGAGTATCATGTCACCTGCAAATAATGACAATTTGACTTCTTCATTTCCTATCTTTATTCCTTTTATTTCTTTCTCTTGTCTAATTGCTGTGGCTAATGTTTCCAGAACTAGATTGAACAGGAGTGATGATAGTGGACATCCTTGTCTTGCTCCTGATTTTAGTGTGAAGGATTTCAGTTTTTGACCACTTAGAATGATATTGGCTGTTGGTTTTTCATATATGACTTGTATCAGATTGAGGTAGAGGCCATCTATTCCAATTTTCTGTAAGGTTTTTATCATGAATGTGTGTTGGATTTTGTCGAATGCTTTTTCTGCATCTATTGAGATGATCATATGGTTTTTGTCCTTGGCTCTATTAATATGGTGTATTACATTGATTGATTTGCATATGTTGAACCATCCCTGCATCCCTGGGATGAATCCCACTTGGTCAGGGTGTATAATCTTCTTGATGATCTTCTGCATTCTATTTGCCAGTATCTTATTAAGGATTTTTGCATCTATGTTCATTAGTGAGATTGGCCTATAGTTCTCTTTTTCGGTTGGGTCTTTCTCTGCTTTGGGGATCAAGGTGATGCTTGCTTCCAGGAATGAATTTGGGAGTATTGCCTCCCTTTCAATTTCATTGAAGAGTTTAAACAGTAGTGGCAATAGTTCCTTGGTAAACGTCTTGTAGAATTCAACAATGAAGCCATCAGGGCCCGGGCTTTTCTTAGTTGGTAAGTTTTTAATTATGTTTTCAATTTCATTGATTGATATTGGGTTGTTTAGAATTTTTAGGTCTTCTTCGTTCAATTTTGGTAATTTATATGTATCTAGAAATCTGTCCATTTCTTCTGTGTTTTCCATCTTATTGGTGAATAGGTTCTCGAAGTAGGTATTGATGATCCTCTGGATTTCTGCTGGGTCCATTGTAATTTCACCCTTTTCATTCCTAATTGGATGGATTTGTCGCCTCCAAATTATTTACAAATGAAGAGAGGCAAAAAGATTCCACTTCACAAATCAGGGTTATAAAAAAAAGTTCACATGTGGATGTTACAGATAATGTCAAATGGCCAAAAGTGAACTGGAAGAATCTTTAGACTGTGAATAAAATGGCTTAGACACCAACTTTGTGATATGAGAGAATATGTAATATATATATATTAGTGTTGGCTTAAAATTGCATTTAATGCATTTTTAACCTGAAAACCTCTTAATAATTGGTTTGACTCTTCAGATTTGTGGTATCTTACAATCCAAGAAAAATGAAATTTCAACTTCAACACGTGATCATTTTCATTTGGTGCTCTCTTTGAAGGATTCTGTGGTCCTAGATGTCAATGGGACCAAATTCAGGGATCATTCTCAGCTATTTCTTCTGCTCTCCATACTATAGGTGGGCATATCCATCTGCCTATTGAGCATCTTCTCTTGGAGGATCCACAAAATCCCAGATTCAACACTGAAACGAAATCAGTCTTATTCTCCTGGCCCTTCTCCTGTGTTCCTCATCTCAATGAATGGTATCACAGCCCCCAGTCCCCAAGCCGGACCACTGAGTTATCATTGACTCCCTTGCTCTCTTTTAACCCCAACTCAATCTCCAAGTCTTCTCAACTCTACCTGTAATCATAAGAAGACTGCTTTTCTTTCTCAGATGATCCACAAAATCTTCCATATATTTGTCTGTCTCCCTCAAAATATTCTCAAGGACAAGTCCTCTTGTGCCTAGCACTCTAGTGCTTAATGCCACCCTAGGCAATTGATTTGCTGATCAACTGAATGACTTAATAAATGAATGAATGTTTTGGGCATCTGAGGGAAGTTGGTTTACCCCACTGTCTTGAAGTCATTATTAATAGCATTCCCTTTTCTTCTTAAGAGTGCCATAGTTTGGACAGTAAATTATATGGTCACACTGTTCATGATGTGTTTTAGAAATGGTTCTAAAAAATAACATACCCTGTGCTGATATCTCCCATTTGTCATTGAGAAGCAGGAGATCAGAAAGAAGGAAGAGCATGAGGTTTGGGTATCTATTCAGGCTCCCTCCCCATGCGATCTCCCAGGCGGATGCCCCACTACATGCTGTCCACCATGAAGATCAGTCACCATCAGGGCCAGTACTCTCTCCGCAGCACTTCCATACCGCCATAACAGGTAACCATAACCATGTGCCTTAGTTTAGGTTTCCCTGTATAGCTGGGACTGGGGCATTCACCACCACACCCAGGTCTGGGGGAGAATTCTTACCCACAGATAACAAAGCATGAAACAGCAAAGATATTTCCACTTGCCTTGGACTTGTCACATTCAACCCTGGAACCTACAGAGTCACATTTTCCCTTTTTCCTTTTTAGGGAAATTCAATAGTAACAAAATGAGAAATATGACACCATATTTATATTTTATCCCAAAGTTATATTTTATCTCAGTTTCTTGATTTTGAAATACATATATTTTATACAATAATTATATGAACATAGCTTCACATATAGTATCTATAAACAAAAGATGGTTTTTATTTTTAGCAATACAAAATATAATGTTTCAGTAAAAACAAAAAATTCACAACCAACCCAAATCCTATAGACAGTATCTGCATATGAGCTTGTTGCATATGTTTTATTACAAACAAAAGAAATGTATGCTGATGTTAACATTGGCCACCTTATGAGATTGGGCAGGTTGGTAGAGGATGATGTGGAAACAATTAGCCTTCTCATGTTTTATGCATCACTGATAAACTAGAAGGAAAAGTCAAATAGTGAGTATTTTGATAATCAGAAATGGAGACTATGTAGCTTTACACACAGTTATCCACAAATCCCCAAAATAAGCTTTTATATGTCAATTTTGCTTTATATTCCAATTTTACTTTTTTTCAAGGGCAGTCTTCAGAAAGTTAAAAATTCATGTAAACTAAGACAAAGCTAACTGTTTCCCCTTCATCCTCTACCAACCTACACAATCCCATAAGGTAACCAATGATAACATTAGCTTGTCATCTTTCATACATTTCCCTTTTTTAATATAATAAAACATATAATACAAGCACATATGCATGTGAACATTCTCTTTTTTAATTATACAGTTTTCTGAGTGTGCTTTCTCAAATTTAAATGAAGCTTAATAAACAATTCTTAATTACAATTGAGCAACTCCTAATTGTTTGTCATTTAAGTTTTTTGGTGTGAATTGGAATTCCAAGTGCAGCTACCCACTTTTGAGGAAAGAGAATTTAAAGAAGCTACTGGGGTTTACCTAGTTTAAAAAGTTGAAAGTGACCAATTAAAGGTAGTAATATCCCAGTTGGATTTCACAGCTACTTAATAATACAAGCTTTTATGTTGGTGTAGTAGGCATGTGTAACAGCTGGCAAAACAGCACTGTTTGTCATTGACTTTACAATAAAAATTAGAGCTATCTTTTGTGTCAGCGGATATGCATTTTTAAGTAGATGTTATCAATATTAGGGATAAAAATAACAATAGGAATCCAGGCCCTAGAGTGAAGTCCGGGTGGGAAATGGCCCATGCCCCTTCCTAAATGGACCTCACCCATGTTCACAGTACTTAATAGAGCACAGGTCACCTCAGCAGCATGTGTATTTCCTTAGCTTTATAGTCATTTGCCAGGATTCAAAACTCTTTGGAGAAAATAAATTTCTGGCCAAAGTTTACTGGGGGGAGGTAATAGTAACTATATATTCTACAATGGTTCTAATTTCAGGTATTTTGTTTCACTAGTCCTATACATCAGAGGCCTCCAGTTCTTGGTTTTGCAGACCAAGTGTGACTCTCCTGAAATTCTTGGTTAAAAAAAAAAAATTGAAACAGCTACTTAATAGCAAGGAAAACGAGAAGTTTAAGCTCTCCTTGTCGGAGAATTCTGTTATATTTGCATCAGAGCCCTTGTTCTTTTTTTTTTTTGGTACTGGGGATCGAACTCAGGTCCTTGCACTTGAGCAGCAAGTGGCGAAACCACTGAGCTAAATCCCCAGCCCTAGAGCCCTTGTTCTTAGCTAGTATTTTCTTGTTGGAGGCTGGTCCTCCCACTCCCTCCACTAGGCTGTGAGCTCTGTGAGGCCCGAGAGCCCAGCTGCCCTGTCCATTCTCAGTGCACCTCTGACAACCCCTGGTACGCAGTAAGCTCCCCATAAATAGTGGCTGAACCCAAGGTAACGAGAGCAATGGCAGGTAGAAGCAGGCTGCTTGTGAGTCCGTAGGAACTGGGCTGACCTTTTGTATGGGGATGAGCACACCTTTACAGGACACTGAGGTGCTTTCATTTAGTCATTTAACAAATATTTATTGTGGGTCCCTAGCTTAGTATAGCAATGAATGCGCTGACATAGATCCTACTCTCGTTAAGCTTATAATATCACAGGATGACAGACTTTTTTTTTTTCAATCACAACATACTAATTACAAACTGTGGCAAGTGTGATGAAGGAAAAATACAGGGTAGTACAAGCAATTATAAAAAAATTGATGGCTGTACAACTCTGTGAACATATGAAAATGGAACACTTTAAAAGATGAATTTTAGGGTATGGATATTATATCTCAAGATGGCTATTATTGAAAAAGAGACTATGATGTTGGATTAAGAACACAGCTTTGGGTCCCAGCATTTCTGGGTTCATAATCCTGGCTTGGATATTTACAACTTATTTAACATCTTAACAACTTATTTAACATGTCTTCACCAATAAAAATAATAACACCTCCTTTTAGGATTGTTCTGAAGGTTAAACAAGATGATACTTTCAAAGCAATGGCAATGGTACCTAGTTTCAAAAGAGGTGAGCTATTATTACCTTGGGGAATCCAGGAGTTTGTGGACTGAATGTGTCCCTCCAAAAGTCATGTTGAAACCTTAAACCCTAATGTGATAGATTTAGGAGGCGAGGCCTTTACAGGGTAATTAGGTTATGAGGGTGTAATTCTCATGCATGAAATTATTGTCCTTATGAAAGGGCAAAAGATTCTCTCTCTCTTCCTCTCCCTCTTCCTTTGTCCTTATCCCCTCTCTCTCAGATAGCAAAATAAGGCTTCCTTCAAACAAGGAAGAGCACCCCACCAGATACCAGATCTGCCAGCACCTTGATTATAGACTCATAGCCTCCAGCACTGTGAGAAACTGTGATGCCCCATCTGTGGTATTCTGTAAAAGCAGCCTCAACTAAGACTGACTAAGAAGGGGGAACAAGAGTCAAGATGAGAGAACACAGAATGGAGGCAAAATCAGAAACTTCTTGAGCTCTATTTCTTGCCATTTGGGAACCCGTGAGACTCTGTTTAAAAATTTCAAGGCATTATGTTTTGATTAATTTTGCTGTTGGAACAAAACTGTTATGAACATATCTAAATCAATAGTAACATGAAATTGTAGAAACTTATTTATATATGTGTATCGTGTTTTCTACTGTAGAACACAATAGAAATATCCTGTCTTTACTCTTTACACATTTTTATGGTTTAGATCTAAAATATCCCCCCAAAATCTCACATATTTGGAAGGTGACCTGATCATGGGGTCATTATATTCATCAGTGGATTAGTCCATTGATGTGGTCAGAGCTAAATGTACTGTTTGGAGGTGGTTCCTAGCTGAAAGAGGTGGTTCACTGAGGGCATAACCTGAAAGGATATATTCATGTCCCTGGCTCTCCTTTCTCTCTACTTTCTGGCTGCCATTATGTTAGCATCCAGCTGACCCTTCCACCATGCTGTTTATGCCTTGGAGCTGGCTGACCATGGACTGAACCCACTGAAACTGTGCGACAAACAAACCTCTCCTCCTCTAAGTTGCAGGTGACGGATATTTTGTCCCAGAGACAGGAAAGCTAACTAGTACAGTTTTATATAAATATGATCTATTTGCAATAAATTTTACCTTTTAAAAATACAAGTCAGTAGTGTTTAACATATTCACAAAGTTGTACAACCACCACCACTATATAATTCTAGAACATTTTTATCATCCCAAAAAGAAACTTCCTACCCAGTAGAAGGTATTCCTGGTTTCCCTTCCTCCAAGGCCCCAGGAATCACTACTTTGTCAACACAGATTTCTCAGTCCCTACCTTTACTCTTGGAATTAACCCACGCTGTTTTGGGAGTCGCCAAAGTTTACCCTCAGATTCCAGGGGAAAAACAAATGACTTCCAGTCAATTACAGTTGGAAACAACCTAAGTAAAAAGATATAGAATTTAAAATCAAATTTTCTGTCTTTAAAGTTTTTTAAAAACAATTCTTCTTAGTTAATATTAAATTTTATAGGAAACATACTATTGGTGATTACAATAAATTAAACTAATTTTTAGGATTTTTACCATTGTAAAACTGCAGTTGTTTTATTAAGCATAAGAACTTCTAAGTCTGATAAAGACCATTATAGCATGAATAAAAAGCACTATCGGGCTGGGGATTTAGCCCAGTGGTTTTGCCGCCTGCTGCGCAAGCGCAAGGACCCAAGTTCGATCCCCAGTACCAAAAAAAAAAAAAAGCACTATCAATGGTTGAGTTTATGTAACCAACAACTGACAGAATTATTACACTATAAAGCATTTCTTGGTAGAGAAGAATATATAATGTTGTATTTTGTTAAATAAAATCAAATTATAAGATAGCCGATGTTAAAAATATTCAAAATGGTGATCTCTAAGCATTTAATACTTACATTAGTTAAATCTCTGCTATTTTATATAATTGCAAAGATTTACATTTCAAAGTTGGTTAAAGGTTTTCATTATTAAGCAGTAGATAGATTCATGGGAAAGCAATGTAAAAACAAAATAAAACTGTAAGAATGGATAGATGCATGTCAGATTATACCTTAGAAATTTAAATTTAAAAGCAAGTTCAATTACTTTAATGTGGTCAGCTTAATTAAGATGAATAAAATTCAACCACCAATATAACTCAGTCCCTTGATTCTACTGTGATGCCCTCTTCTGTAAAATCATCATTAAAAAGCAATTTATGGTGCAAGGTCCCAAGTTCAATCCCCGGTACCAAAAGAAAAAGCAATTTATGGACTTCTGATTTTACCCAACATGTAAAGAGCTTGAATGTGTTACTCTCATCCTTATAACAAGAAAAAGGCAAAATAAACCAAAAATGACAAATCCTGTATCAGTGAGAGAATCAAGATCACAGAGCAAAATGCTGCCCTGAAAATTGGAGAGAGGAAGATTTGAAGAATCACAATTACAGCGAGCAGAAGCTGCTGCCGCGACAGTACTGGCTCGTTGGCACACTGCTGCAGGCTTAGTGAAGGCTGGCTTGGGAGTTAAAATTCTGAGCGGATGAGTCCTGGGTGGTCCCATGGAAGCGCCACCTTGTTCTCACTGTGAAGATCAGAGAAAAATCCTCTCTCCTGCTTCCAGTAGGGGAAGGAGAAATAACTAGCTTGAAATTTACCCAAAGAGTTCTGTTCTTTGTTGTGTTCTCTGTAATGAAGGCCGGTTTTCAAGGAAAAGTATTTTACCAAAGCCTAATCTGACTCGGGGAAGGGCGATCAGCCAACTCCAGCCCCAACTGGCCTTCCTGTCTCACCTATGATGAAGGCAGCTGGAGGAGCTGAGAAAAACTTAGGAAGGTAACAGCCCAGGGACATAGATGCACCAAAAGCCTGAGACCTAACCCTAGGAATGTAGAATGCATCCCCTTCACACACACTTACACTCACCTTATCACCGCACCCTCAGAGCCCTGGTAATACAGGATCGCAGATGAAAAAACAGCATGGTTCAGGCTTTATTTTTCTAAAGCATTTCTAGGGAAATGGAAAGACAAGAGGCGACAGGAACAAAGACACTAGAGGAAATTGAAGCCTCAAACATCTAGAGTAGTAGCCACAGTAAACGCCGCTACCTCCTAGCCAGATAAACATAAACCCTCACAATAAAGGTCTACTTTGCTAGCTTCCAACAAAAAGAAAATTACAAGACATGCTAAAAGACAAGAAAAAAAGAGTCTGAAGAGACAAAGCAAGGATCAGAACCAGATTTGGCTATGACAGAACTTTCAAAAACATCAGAGCAGGAATTTAAAATAACTATTAATATGTTAAGGAATCTAAGGGAAAAAAATTGATGACTGCAAGGATGGATGGGTAATATAAGCACATATTCTTACAATCTAAGAAAGAATCAAAAAGAAATGCTAGAAACCAAAAACACTGTAAGAAATGAAGAATGCCTTTGCGACATGGGCAATAAAAGAATCAGTGTGCTTGAAGAAATATCAGAATAAAACCCCCAAATTGTAATGTAAAGAGGAATAAAGAAGGAATGAAATAAAACAGAATATTCAAGAACTGCAGGATAATTACAAATGATGTAACATACACATGATGAGAATACCAGAAAAAGAAGAAAGGGACAGAGGAGCAGAAAAAATATTCAAATAATAATGGCTGAGAATTTTCCAAAATTAATGACAGATACCAAATCACAGGCCTAGGGATCTTAGCGAACACCAGCCAGGATAAATAGCAAAAAATTATACCTACTGTAGGCATATCATATTCAAACCATGGAAAAGCCAATCCTGTAAGAACCTGGGGACACAAGGATAAGAAACAGAGCTATTAAGGACAATAAAAAAACAAACCATGCAAGAAAGAAGGATCAAAATCTTGAAAATGTGTGAAGAGAAAAACTAGCCAACATGGAATTCTATAGCCAGCAAAGTTATTCTCCAAATGTGAAGAGGGAATAATAGCATCCTCAAACAAACAAGAGCTAAGTGAATTTGTTGTCAGAGACTTGTCTTTCGAGAAATATTTAAGTTCTTTGCAGAGCAGGAAAATGATAGAGGTCAGTTATGGGTCAGGTGAAGCAAAAGGAAAAGTCAATGGACTCTCCACCCTGTTTTTATGTCCCAAAGCCTAGGTTACCAGTCTGCCTTCTCCCCACCTTCAGACTCCTCTTAAGTTTGTTTGTTTGCCATACTGTGATCGAATGCAGGATACTCTCTCACTGAGCTACATTCCTAGCCTCTTTATTTTTTTCTTTTGAGAGAGGGTCTTGTTATGTTGCCCAGGTATGACTCAAACTTGCAATCCTCCTGCCTCAGCCTCCCTAAGTGCTGGGATTGTAGGCATGTGCCTTCATTCCCTGTTTTATCTTTGTTTTCCATATAATGTACAAGGTTTTTAGTTGGTTTTAGCCAAAAGCCCAGGAGAAGCTGTGCTATACCTTCTAATATCTACATCATTTTTCCAGAGGTGAAAGCCTCCTGGTATAGTACTTCAGCCCTTTTACCTCCATGGATTATATTCAGAAGTTGAGAATTGAATTGAGATACAATTGAGTATCTCACTTTTCCCCCCTCAACCTATAAGTGATTACATTCCAATGACATCAAAATTTCTTCATACCTGTTCAATAGCTTATTATACACATATAAATAAGTTATAATGGGTTTAATCATTTTACTGTTGCCATTTAAGGTATTTGCAAATTTACTACTATTATTAGATATATTGCTAAAGTGAACATACTTCCAGAGATTCACATATCCTTCCCTTTATTTCCTAGAATAATTCCCAGAGCTACTATTGCTAAATTTAAAAATAATTTTTAAAATCTTCTCATATTGAAAAATTGCCTTTAGGAACTTTGTGCTACAGTATTTCACCATTAGAATAAAAGTACGCTGTCCCTGCTGTTCCTCATCAGAACTAAATAGCATGGCAGCTTAGACGACCTGCTTTGCTCATTTGTAAAGAAAAAAGAGAAATATGTTGTTTAATTCAAATTTCTCTGGTTTACCAGTGACAGTAAACATTTTTTCTCTTTTGTGTGTATTATCAGCTACTAGTAACAGTAAACATCTTTCACCTATGTATTTTACTAATTTTGTTTGCATTTTTCTTTCTATGAGTAGTCTGATGCCCTTTTGCCTATATCAAGCTTTTGCTCTGCAAGAGTTCTTTTTATTTAAGAATGAAGTATTGGGCCAGGAATTTAGCTCAGTGACACTGCGCCTGGCTCACAAGTGCAAGGTCCTGAGCTTGATCCCTGGTACCAAAAAAAAAAAAAAAAAAAAAAAGCAGTATTACCAGTTTTTGTGACAAATCTGTTGCAAGCGGGTTTTCTCTAGCTTGTTACTTTTTAACTGTATGATGCTGCCTTAAAAATTAGTTTTTGATTTTAAAAAGTTCAAGCCCATGGAAAAATAGCGAGAATCCAGTTGCCTCTCATGTAACATAGCAAGGGTTAACATCCTGTTACCCTTGTCTTTCTCTCCCACCAAGCGCGCGCGCGCGCGCATGTGTGTGTGTGTGTGTGTGTGTGTGTGTGTGTCGGGGGCCTAGGATGAAGTCAGATTTTACATTGCTGACATGCAATGTCAACAATGCATACCCCATAGGACAATCCAGAGTAGACTGGACCTGAAGTGTTTCAATAATTAAATGACTATGTACCTTCTAATCTACTCCCACCATTTAACCGAAACCTCTCTTCCTCGCGCTGTTTCTCACCATTATTTATTTGCTCTGTTATGCCCCTACCCTGTAGTACAGCACAACGGTACAAAATGAAGATTTCTGTGCAGCTCTGATAGTGCTGGTACAGATGGTAGTTACCCTCCTAGTGTCAATAAGCAGAGCATGCTCATTAAGAACAGTGTGAGCAGATATCATGAGCAATAAAATCTGTGAAAGCCAGCAATGATAACAGGAAGGGCCACATTCTGACAAAGAAGAATCATTGCCAAAGTGGGAATAACAGTGAAACCTATTTTGAAAACAATACAAAAGCACTTTGAGCTGCTTGGAGAAAATATGCTACTTTGGGTAATATCTTTTGCATTGTTTTCGGAATGACTGCTAGGAAGATCTTGCATTTGCCTGGCAACCATCATTGTCACTTTATGTACCTACTGGTTTTTCTCTCTACCCAGCAAACTACCAGATTGAGCAATACTTGCCAGAAAGGAAAACCATCTTTTGTAAAAAGTAAGCTTCCTGGTTTTCAGGCAGCCACAGAGTGGGAGGAGAGTACCAGACTGCAGACGTTTGATCTGGACTTGAGTCTGAGTCTTGCCATTGACCACCTCTGTGACCTGGGACTGATTTATGAAAGCCTTAGTTTCCTCACTGGGTATGTATCAATCTCATAGGTTTTCAAAAAGTCCTTTGCCAATGGGTGTTACCAAAATATTGACAACAGTGCTCCTGCTACTGCTGCTGACAATTATTATACGTAGTTGTAAATCACCTTGTAGGTGTACCTGGGTATAGTCGTCACTTGGAATGAAAGTCTCCTGATGTCCTTGGCATCCACAGGTAGAGTGAAGCCTCATATGTCTGAGCAATGTTGATTCTCAGTTACTCAGAATGTGCTCTGCTGCCAGAGGAGCAACAGAGACCTCCAGTCCTTATTATAATGCCTCCCCTTTCAGAAGGAGTTGCTACCCTAAGACATTTGGCCTCATGGTTTGAGCCGACATTGGCAGTTCCTACTAGCCTGACTGCCAAGTTCCAGTCCCAGTTCAGTCCCAATGCAAAAAGCTTACTCTAAGGGCCAGGGATTTAGCTCAGTGGCTCTGTGCCTGCCTTGTAAGCGTAAAGTCCTGAGTTCGATCCCCAGCACTGAAAAAAAAAAAACTTACTCTAACTTGACATAGAAATAGGGTGGCAGAATATGCCTGGTCTATACAGAAGCAGACCCTTTATGTGGCCAAAAGAATTCTGATTACAGTCATGTAACACCTCAGGAATTCTAGCACTTACCCTTTAATCAGTACAGGTTAGCACAGTCTTTCTCACTAAATTGCTCAATTCAAGAGGATACTTTTGAAATTTGAGTTTGATTTACCATGATTTCTTTAAGAATTTAAAAATACTGAACATAATTTGCAAGCATCAATATACTATCTTTCATTAGCATGACAGGACATATGCTGAATTTAGAATCGGAAGATTGAACTTCATTCAAGTTCCTGTAGATTTTTAGGGCCATGTGATCTTGGGCAATTTATTCAATCTTAGGTGGTTGTTGTTTTTACTTATTTATTTTTCTTTTTGTGGTATCAGGGATGGAACACAGGGCCTTCACTCTCTGCTACATCCCTATTCCTTTTTACTTTTCATTTCAAGACAGGGTCTTGCTAAATCACGAAGTTCCCCAAGGCTGGGTTTAAACTTGGGATCCTCCTGCCTCAGCCTTCCAGAGTGCTGGGATTACAGGTGTGCATCATACGGAGATCTTCAGGTCCATTCAGGACAAAGTGTTAGGGAGTTTCCAGATCTTCTAATTCAGTAATGGTGAACCTTTTAGAGCTTTCAATGACAACAAATAGCCCACTGCAGCACGCATGCCATAAGTCTGCCACCGCTATTCTAACTGGTCTAATCCAGGATGCTAACATAGGAACAGGCAGAAGGGAGGACAATGGGTTTTTAGACTCATCATATACCCAGGAGTTGGCGGAGAGCTGGGTTACCAGATATTATAAAGACAAAGAACTAACAAAGACACACAGTATTCCTCTATCATGATGTCCACAGCATTTGGACATTCATCAGCTTCTCCAGCTTCCTAGCTGAAGACTGGCATGATGGAATGACCTTTCTGCTGTTGTCAAGTAGGAAAGCACAGCTTAAATACTCATAATCTCTCCAAGACAGGAAAGTACCGTTCAATTTCGGAAAAGAACATTGAGATGTGAGAGAATAACTCTAAGATTTTAATCAAGTCCTTTAACCTCTATGGCTTCATTTTACACATTTATAAAATGAGGATAACACCTATTAGGGCTATGAAATAGTTGCTTAAAGGGTCAAATAAGATAATATAGATATATATGCTTTCTGTACTATCCATGGACAAGATAAAGTATTATTATCAAGATCAAACATCTACCCAGGTCCTGCTATGTGCCAGTCATTACAGAAAACCAGAACAACTAAGACCTATAAGCTTTGCCCACTGTCCTTCAGAGCAATGAAAAAGTAACTGCCAATAGAAGATAGTCAAGGATCCATACCAAATAAGTTGTGGAACCAACCCTTCCTTGGTCTCCCTATTTCTTCCTTGGCCCCCTTGTTGTTAATGCTATGAAAATTAAAAAATAGTTTGATGAGGTGAGGGGAAGCTTGACAGAAAAGCTGGGGGGGTCACGGAGATAAACATGAGAGTACAGTGGGAAGTGTGGCCTCCTGGATGGTCCCCAGTGATCCCACCCCTTGTATTCATTCCCTTGTGTAACCCTTTCCCCTTTCCCCTTCTAAGCAACAGAAGAGAGTAGAAGCAATAGGATAGGTTACAGGACTATGGTCTCCATAGTCATGAGCTGCCATGCCTCAGGAACGCTGAGACAGCCTAAGAAAGACCCACACGTTGAGGACCAAGTCCTGCCAGAAACCATGTGAGTGAGCTTGGAAGCAGATCTCTTCCCATCCCTCAGCCCCTGCCCCCCCAGCCCCCTGTCAACTCTTCAGAGCAGCCTCCCCCAGCCAGCACTTAAGAGTGTATAGCCTTGTGAGAGTCCTTGAGCCAAAGGGACTTGGCTAAGTGTGCTCAGATTCCTGAGGACAGAAACTGTGGGCCAGCAAGCGTTTGTTATTCTACGCCTCTATGTTTTGGGTGGTTTGATACAAGGCAATTGATAAGTAGTATAAGGGCCATCAAGGCAATAGGAATGAAACTGTGATGAATGCAGAGCAGCCTGAGACGGCAGATGTTTATGACTGCACGGGGGCCCCAGGAGAAGTAGGGAGACCAGAGAAGGGCTACCTCTGCCTGTGTGCCTGTGGCACTACCTTCACTGAGAGAAGGGAGACAGGTATGATGTATATCCAAAGTTCTGCTCCCTACTACTAAGTGCTGGGACTGGGTTATCTCTATAGCTTTCCCCAACTAGTTTTGGAACTTGACCTTGCTGCCCCATATCATTCACTTACGCTGGGTACATATATAAAACACAAATAAGAGCCACAGGGTTTATAAGCTTAGAACAAAAGCTTAATCTACCTTCACTCATTGGGAGTCCTGTACCTAAGAATCTCCAGGTTGAGGGCAAGATCACTTCTTTTATTTTTCTTATTTATTAAATTATTTATTGTTACCAGAGATCAAACTCAGGACCTTGCACTTGCCAGGCAGGCATGGCACCACTAAGCTAAATCCCCAGTCCAAGATCACTTCTTTTAAACTCAATTCTAATGTTAATAAATCATCTCTTACGACATGATTACATAATAAATATTTCTAGCACCTTCTATTACTTGTGTTTACCAGGCATCTTCTTTACAATAAAGCACATATAACATTCTACAAATGATCTAAATGCACAAAAACTAATTTGCCTTAAAATGTTTCCTTGAAGAGTTGAATTTTAACTCTTTAACAATGGACCCTTGACTTATGAACTCCATTGGTTCCCTAGAGCTGGTTGTAACTCAAGTTGGTTGTTAGTACAGCTGAGATCTGGATGTTTACCTGGGTACACACTATAACCAGAGACAGATGAATCTTCCATTAACCTAATTAACCCAAGTTGTTTGTATGTCAAGCAGGTCATAACTTGAAGGTCCACTGTGCCTTTCACTAAAAAGTAACTAAAACTAAAACTAAAAAGTAAAACTGAAACCTGGACCCTGAGATAATTGTCATGGTATCAAGCATTAAAACTCAATAGAAGTAACCGACAATTAAAGTGCATTAATTTTTATGCATTACTTTACTGAAATTAGTAGAATGGATGTAAACAATGCCAGGAAAATTTTGCCTGTATAACTACCTATCTAAGAGAGAAGTTATTATTTTCATTTACTTGGGCTCTAAAATGGCTATTTTACTCACCATTTTGAAGCTACAGGAGAATGTAAGTTCTCATCAACAGAAGTCATTAACACATGATGGTTTACAACATCTAAATACTTCTGAAGGTGAATCTGTTACAGAAAAGTCAAAGCTTAGGCCATTACAGTGGACTAAATATACTCAGTTAATTCATTTCATTAGGTTAACACTTTGAATCGTGTAATGAAGCCAAAAAGCACAACATGCTATGTGTTATTACATGCCTAAGGTGTCTTTAGGCATTATAAGGCCAAATGACTTCAACTCTCCCAAAAAGCACAATAAACAACTGCGACTAGAGCTTGAGTGACCTGTAGCATTCTTTGCAAATGAAACTGTGCACAATAGTCAGCAAATTGCTTAGCCAGGTAAATCCACAAGGAATAATGTCTTTCTCTTACAGGGCTTGGAGCCAGCAACTGAGATAAGCATTTGGCCTTAGGTAACAAATTATTCAAAATGGCCAACCCAGAAGACTCCAGCTGGGTCCAGCCCTCTCACCAACAAGTAATATAGGACAATGAATGACATGCCAGTCTGAGGAAGCTACAGGAAACACCACAATTTTCACAGCCTTGGGAGCTAGCAATGAAACTGGTTACACAGGAGCGTGAAGGTCTGAGGCACTGAAAATCACAGCTCTAGATGGACCTTACTTGGAAGATGGTACCCTATTAGCTAATACATGTTGGTTGCATAGATGAATAGCAGCCTGGTCTGAGGATTGGATTCTCCTCTCCTTTTAGGGCTGTTTATAACATGAAGTCTCTAACTACTGTATTTCTCTGTCTCAAAATCAGTCCATTTAGTTTTACCCACTTAATTACAATATTACAAAAATGAATAGCTCAAAATACTTAAGCTATTAGGGATCAGTCATTTCTTATTTTCTAGAATCCCAGTAAATCCCAGAAAATCTGCATTGCATTAGTAAGAATCCTTTTTGGTCAGGCAAAACAAGGGCTGATCAAAAAATATGATGTATATATACATTTTTAAAACTTATTACGAAGACATCTTGTTATTAACTCTCCCTCACTTTGAGCATGCTTATTTCTTTGTTCCTGCCACTTTCTGAAGGAGTCCTGGAAGCCCTCTTTTGTGAGTGTCTTTATAAGGTGTGATAAAAAATACAGGAAATGCTCGTGCTCAGTGCCATCCAACCAAAAGGCAGGCTCATAAAAAGATTATGGTGCACTGTCATCCACCTTATTTACTGGATCTTACTTCATCTGGTACTGTGCAATTTTTAGCTCTTTCCAAAAGTCAAAATGATCATGAAAGATAGATATTTTGAATTGACTCAGGGCATTGAGGCAGTCATGACAATGCAACTAAAGACTCTCACAAAAGAGGAATTCCAGAACTGCCTCAGAAAGTGGCAAGAATGATGGGATAAATGTGTTTGAAGCAAAGGGGACTAATGGCAATGTATCTTTTACTGTAATATATTTTTAGAAAATTTAAAAATTCAACATATCCTTCAATTATACTCCATATTGTTTGAATAATAGTGCTTATTTTTCAAGCTTAAGTTATTTTATCAAACCAGTTTCAGGACTTGCTGCTGCAGAATCTCGTATTTCATCTCTTTAAATTCTTTGTGGAATATAACATGATGTAAATCAATCAGGTAGTAATCACTGTCATTTAGAAAACTAAGAAAATATGAATGCAAATGGCCACCCTAAATCCCACTGGGTTACAGAATCATACAGGGTCCTATGAGAACCACAAATCTTTTCTTCCAGAGGCTTCTTTGTCTCCTTCCAGGATTTATTTAATATCTGAAGCCTACTTACTCTTAACCCCATTTCTGTCCTTCGGATTGCTGTTTCAAGACTCTGAATATCTAGAGTCTTTCTTTCTTCCTCACTTGGGAATTTTGTTAATTTCTCCTTTAATTGGTGAAGGTCTTCTTGGACCTGTACACACAAAAATACAAAATATTGAAAGAATACACATGGTGTACCTATAACAGTTATTTATCTTACAGGTCTGCAGTGGGCTTGAATTGTGAGAGTCATAAGTTGATTTTTATGGTATTCATTGAAAAAGACCACTTCTTTCATTCTAGGACATCCTTTACTCAATATATGCTAGCATTATCTCTCAGATTGTGGAGAACAAAGCTTTCCTACTTTTTCTGTTGTTCCTTCTCCCGTTAGAAATAGATATAAAGCTTCAACCCAAACAGCTTCTGCTCTCTAGGTGGTGGTAAAGCAGTTGAACCAGAGATGTTATTCATACCAGACTTCAATTTCTACGAATTGGTTAAGGGCCAGGGATTTAGCTCAGTGGTTCCAGCACCTGCCTCGCAAGCACAAGGTCCCAAGTTTGATCCCTGGTACCAAAAAAAAAAACCCAAAAAAACCCCGATACAAATTGGTTAAAGTAAGAAAACAGGAAGCTCCCAGCAAAGACAGGATCTAGCGCAAGCAGTCCCTTTCAAAAGAATTTGGTAAATTGTGTTGGCAGGGCCTGTCGGTTTTCTATCCTAGCTGGCTCTTCCTTACTCACTGCTCTGAAGAAGCAGGTCTGTAGGTGTTGTGGCTTTGGTTTTGCCTTATGTAGTGGGAAATGAAAATATTGATGAAGAAAAAGCAACATATGTTATTACTCTCACATTTTCCCTCAATGTGTATTTTCCTTGCAAATGACGAACATCTCTCCAATGTCAGGCATCCTCAGCATCAAACAGGCACTATGAAATTAGAAAGCACAAGATTCCCTGTCTTCATATTAGAAACCAAACTTCAGATAAATACAGATGGCACCAATTATTGTATGGGCTGCTGCCACAGGAAAAGCATTTTGTTATGCAAATTTATGAACCTAACACCTGTTTCAACAATAGTCACACCAATAACAATCTGCAGACTGGGTTGCTAAAGGCATTTTGAAATGGTTACCTTCTCTCTGTTAGTTTAACTGGACTCACCTTTGTCTAGCCTACGTTACAGATTCCTCAGAAACATTTCCAAAGAGCCAAGTACTGTATTCAAAATATCAGAATTTGCAACTTCTCAGTGATGGGCATTGCAGTCTGGCAGACACATCCGATCATTTGTACTCTGCACAAATTGTCATGTGAAGCCTTCAGGGCCCTCAGATTGATAACTGAACACATCTACTGCTTGCTTGCAGGAACTAAGGGTGAAAATGCACTTCTTTCCATTGTTTTGTCCAAATGAGGACAGCAAGCTGACCTAACAAGTGCTTGAAAACATTTGGAAATACAAAAAAGCAGTTCCAGGACTATGCCCTCCTCTTTCAATGAACTGACTTTCTCCCTTCTGGTATTTGTAGTGTCATGGTCTTTCTGCAATTGTCTCTCAGTTGCTGGAGGGAATGAAACGGAACTAGATTACTCATCAGGGTACCAAAAGTTTGATTGGTTGGTTGATTTTTTCATCTGTCTTGCATGACAACAATACTTCTTCATGGAATTCTGAGATAATGTGTTAATAGTAACACATGGTACATAGTAGGAACTCAGTAAAAGGTAGCTCTAACATTTACTAGTCACATGATTTCCTCATACATATTACCCTTAATTTGTTGAGGAAAAAAACCTACTCCTTAGAATTAAATTGTTGGATGCAAATGAGGTAATATGTATGAAAATGATTCAACATAGACTTTGGAGCCAGGTAGATGTGAACTGGACTTTTGTTTTTTTTTTTTTTACTAAACTGAACTTGGAAAAGTTACTTAACCTCTTAGAGTCTTAGTGTTCTCATCTGTAAAATGGGGTAACAGCTATTTCAGAATAGTAGCAAAATAAAATGAGAGAAAGTATGTAAAGTGCTAGGCACACAGGATGGCACTGAACAAATGTTTTCTCCTGAATTGAAAAATCTAGTGAAACACACTGCACATAACTGATACTCAGTAAATGTTCCCTGAATTGAACTGCTCCCTTATTCTTTCTCAAGAGCTTATTACTCTTCTTCCCAGATATTTTCTTCCCCCCCTTAATAACAACCCATCTGTTTGCATAATTGCAATAAAGTCAAGTACTATAGAAAATGTTACACCAGACTTGGGTAGGAAAAGAGATTAAGTTCTAAATCTCTATTCTTTCTGCACATAGGTCCTATCGCCATATTGAAATTTTACAAATCACCCATTAGCTCTGTGACCATCAAATGTATTGCTTTCCATAAATCTTCTACTGAGAGGAAGATTATTATTTTGATAATTCGGAGACAGAGAAGCCCTTGAGAGATTTAATGCAGCAAAGATTTGCTCTAGAGTTTAAAAGGCCATAGAACAGATTCAAGATAGTCAAAAGCAACATAAAATTTCTTTTTATTTATCTCTGCTGTAAGTTTGGCTGAATCATTCTACTGCTTCAAGTTATCTTTAACTCCATTCTTTTGGTTTTTTGCTTTTTGTTTTTTGAGATCAAGACTTGCTTTGTAGTTCAGGCTGACCTTGAACTCACTATGTAGCCCTGGCTGGCCTTAAACTTGCAGCAATCCTCTTGCCTCATCCTCCTGAGTGATGGGATTATAGTTCTGTGCCACCAAGGCCCAGTTTCCATTCCTGTTTATATTATATGCTCCTCGGGAATCACACAGATGACTTGGTAAGTGAGACAGTAAAAATATCAAACTGCCAGTTTAGCTCCCATACTTCCAAGGGTGCTGCTAGCACACACTGCTGGATTTTTGAAATATAATTTCCAAAACTAATTTAAAAGCTAATTTTTCATAAGACCAGGTAACTTTTGTTGTACAAACATGTGTTTAATAGTTGGTCAAACAAGCATTTATGAAGATATTATTTAAGTGACACTGTGGCATCTTAACACTTAGAAACAAAGCTTACTAATTTAAAAAAGAAGATTGCTACCAGTATGATAAAACCTATTCAAGGATCAACACATACTGGATATACTGCCTGGGCAAGTTCGTTTACCTCTTTATTTATTTATTTATTTATTTTTGGTGCGCTTGGGAGGCAGGCAGCAGAACCACTGAGCTAAACCCCTGGCCCTTGTTTACCTTTTTTTTTTTTTTTTTGGTACCAGGGATTGAACTCGGGTCCTTGCACTTGCGCAGCAGGCGGCGAAACCACTGAGCTAAATCCCCGGCCTCCCTTGTTTACCTCTTTATACTTTACTTTCTTTGGTAAACTAGGGCTAAAAATAGTACCTGCCTAACAGAGTTGTTATTAGGACTTAGATAATCCACAGCTCTCCGCAGTGTCTGGCTCTTACTTTCTGTGATATGGACCAACCCACAATACTTGTCATGGCTTAGTTTCCTTTTCATAACATGAAGATAATAACAACAGTATTTGCTGAATAGCCTTGTTGCAAGGTTAAGCAAGTAAAAATATATACAGCCCTTTGAATGTATGCTCTCTGGTGAATACTATGATAGCTTTGATTATGTGATTTTTCTTTGAAATTTTCTCCTACCGTTTATATTTTACAACCCAATCTAAAGTAGCAGCTCTCAAATCTGAGCACACATCAGGATTATGTGAAGGGTTTGCAAGCACAAATTGCTGGGTACCACCCTCAGTGTTTCTGGTTCAGTAGTCTGGAGTGGGACCCATGAATCTGCATTTTTCATGTATTTCCTGTTGGTGTTGATGACTTTGTCCTTGGACCATACTTGGAGAACTCCTGGTCTAAAGGATCGCTGAAACATACACCTAATATGTTATATTAGAGTGAAGTACCTTTGCTACACAGAGAGAGAGAGACAGAGAGAGATTCACCAGGAACAATCTGATTGCCTAAGCTAAGAGTAAAAGAAGTCTACTTTCACAGTAAAGAGAAATCACGTAGCTTTGGGGAAACTGGGTCAGTTTAGAGCAGGAAATGGACATAACCCAAACTATGTATTCTACAGAAAAGGAAACTGAGGCCCAGAGAAGTAAAGTGATTAGCCCTAAGTTACCACCTGGTAGAATGTCAAAGCCACAGTTAGACCCCAGTATTCTGACTCTTAAGCATGTACTCTTTCCTCTAGGTGTACTCGTTTTTGGTAGCCGGTTTGAAAGAAATAATCACTGCCCCAAGAAGTGGCATGTGTCTGAGTAGTGCTTGCATGACCACAAATAACGGGGCTTACTGGAAATAGGGAAGGTCTTTCACATTTCCTCATTATACATATTCTACATGGAAAGAAGAGAATACTATGCTAGACAGAGATCAGCTTCAATAATCAGGTCAATGTGTAGGCTTTCTTCCCCTTACCACCCTCCACTAGTGTGTCGGGAGTGACCCTCTTAACAAGAGGGACACTGATCAACATGTGTATGACTATTCTTAGTTCTTCTGTCCCATTTTTACAATTCAGTGCTGACAGATAACTTTTACTGTAAGGTCATACCCTAATTTGACCAGTTTTCTCTGAATTCCATTCTGAAGTGAAAATGCCTCTGGCTTTTAATGCATTATTCTCTACTATTCCAAACCACAAGGGAATGACCCTTGGAAATAGAACTATCTCAAGGGAAAGTATGAAATCAGGCATGAGAATTCTCCTCAGATTCTGGTCTCTTTTTTACAGATGTTCCAGTTCCGGGGAAATAAAGAAAAATAGAGAAAACCTGGGTGGTCCCTGCATTCAGTGTGAGATATACTGTGGGAAGAACTGGCTGTTTCTAGGGAAGAGTCTCCCCTAGTGTTCCAGTTGTCTAGGGCCTGTGTGCGTAGTGTAAAACTAACCTCACCCAAAGAGAGGTCTGGCCACTGCCTTTGGTCACTGAGAGGTGATCTCTAGGCCCCTGGAAAGTCTTGCCTGACAGAAGGGTCTTTGGCTACTTTAGCCACCAGAGAGCCTAACATGATTTACAGTGGGCATTTTGCACCTTGTATCAGTTGCAACCTCTGGAGGAAACAGGCAGTAGTCTGGTCTCCAGGAGGGCTACAGGCAAAGTCAGCCATGAGGGAGGGCCGTGTGAGACTGAACTCCAATTAAAACTCTGGACACCAGCGGACCCAGAGAGCTGCTCTGATTGACAGTATTCTGTACAAAGCGTCACATACTGTGCCTGGAGGAGGAAATGATGCTAATGGCTCCACAGGGGTGACTGGAAGCTCCACGTCTGGATGTCTCTGGGACGCTGCCCTTTCTATCTCTTCTCTTGGCTGATTTTAATTGCTGCCTTTCCACTACATTCAAACCCTTCCCGAGTTCTATGAGTCTTTCCCTTGAATTATCAAATATGAAGGTGTTCATGGGGCTTCTAAACCTGCAGCCAGTGTCTCAGTGAGCATAGTCTTACAGAGATTTGGATGGTTCTGACTTTGCAGTTTCCTCAACTCACTGCAGGGCAGTTGAAAGAGAGGATGATAAAAGGTGAGGTAAGATTTTAGGTACAATTCATGAGGAGGTCTATGAAATTGGTGAGCTCAGGTCCTACTAAGAAGGGTGAATTTAGGGAAGTCTCTCCCATGTGGTAGGTGAAAAATCAAAAATTAATATGAGAAAATGAAAAAATGGAAACAAAGTCTTTGTAAATAGGGAGGGATGGAGGGGTTGAAGGGAGGGCAGGGGAAGGGGGAAAAATAAGAACCAAGAGAGATTATGTAAAGGTGCAAATTTCCAATGATGAATGTCATTATATTGTATACCTAAAATGTACCAATAAAATGTGAAAACATAAAAAATTGACAGAAATTAAAATCAAGCCCACTTCAAGAATGAGTCTCATTTGAAACCCACTGACAGTCCTGTTTAGAATGGCCTTCAACTCATTGTGACAAGCCTTAGCCTAACAGAGCTAAATACGTTAAAAATGATGACATATGTGGAAAAATCTTGAAGCTCCCACATTTAGTGTGAAATGCCTTATTTCAGAAAAAACTGACCTTAACTGCTAAAAACTGGGTCACAATGGAAAAGTCCAGACTTTCTGTATATTTTCTCCCTTAGATTAGAAAAAAGTCATTTTCTACCACTCTTTTGTACTCAAAACGTTAACTTGATTTGCAATCCAAGTTATCTTTATTTTTTCTCTGTGCCTTCCTAAGCAAGGGACATTTAAGTTAAAAAAAAAATTAAGTGCTAAGAAAAGCATTTCCCAGATTTCAGTATCTCCCTAAATTTCCTATCACTTCCGTGTGTATCTGATTGGCCTGTCCTCCACTCTCCCAAGTCGTGGGTTCAAATTTTTCAGAGTATTTTCAAACGGTGCCTCGGAGTAAGATGAATTTTTCTGTAGTAAAAGTTCAGAGGAACGGTTTTACCAGAGGTGGAAAGGTCGTGCTTTGGGAGCACAATCTGCAGCGTAGGGCACACAGTGGGGTGTGTTAGGCGCAGGGGAGAGGTCAGGGTGGGCATTTTAGGGGCCACCCCCGTGGTGCCGGTCTTGTTCCGTAATGTGGTAGCTGGGCAAGGCCAGGGGACGTTCATTTCCCACCTGGAGTAAGATGGATCCGATGGGATCGCAGTTTTCGGTCCCCTGCGCCATGGCTAGGGGCGGGGAGGGTCACCACGCCGAGGAGACTCGGCCTCCAGGTGCTGAAACTTTCCGCAGGGGCTGGGAGGGGGCTGGTCCCCAGGGCGACACCACGCGCGTCCGGCCCGCTCCACGCCGGGAGCGGAAGGGGGGGGCAGGGGCCGCCTCGTGCTACGCGCGCGCCCTTCGCGGCGCTTCCCCCCCGCGCGCCTGCGACGATGGTACAGCTCAAGGCGGAAGCGGCCCGGATGGCCCCGGCTCGCGGGCGCTGCGATGGCTGCGGGCGTCCCTTGCGCGCTGGTCACCAGCTGCTGTTCCACCTTCGCCGGGGACCAGCTGGTCCAACGTGAGTAGCGAGGCTTCCAGGCCGGCCTCCAGGGCCCCCGAGCCAGGGCTGGCGGCTGTCTCTTCCTTCGGCCTCGCTCTGGGCCTGTTCCCCGCCGCAGGCCCGGCCTCCTCCCCCACGGGGGCGGTGCCGGTCTCCCCAGGTGTCAGCCCGAGCTGCTAAGAGCGTGCTTTTACGCGGCGGCTGCCCTTGAGGACCCCGGAGAGCATGTGAAGTTGCCCCGCACGCCGCTCTGTTGCGCGTGTGCGAGGCGCTCGCATTGCTGTTTTTGTGCTTGTTGTTGCTGTCCCTGCTGCTGAGGTAATGTGTTTCCTGGAAATTCTTGATTAAGACTTGTTAGACGTATCCCCTCCCCTTTGGACAGTAACCCCCCTGTCTTCCACCCGGGACGTGGGCTGTCGCCAATTTTAGTTCTGGGGCGTTACTGTGCCTGTTACTTTTCCTTTCTACCCACAGTGCGGCTGTCAAACTAAGTAACTTTTTTTGGTCTTGCTCCCTAAGCGTGCACTGTGCCACTAAGATACACCCCAGCCCCAGACTAAGTAACTCTTAAACCTTAGCCATTGAAAACAGTGTAGTAGAGAGCAACTAAGTCATAGGCCAACTCATAAACTAAAGAGCTCTGTGAAGTCTTGCAACTCAAGACTTGTGTTTTAAAGATAATGGCTTTGACTCATAGCTTTTAGCTGTGCGACTGTGGGGAAGTCACTTAACCTCTGCTCTTCCGTTCTCCTATCTGTAAAATAAGGATACTTTTCATTAGATTCTGCTTACTGCAGAGGCAGGCACATAGCCTTCCTTAAGTGTTAAGGCATTATTATTGAATCACATCATCTCCCTGGCCCTGGTTCCTAATCCGTAGAATAGAGCATATGAACAGGTATTTTGAGGGACAGGTGATGTGAATTTGAAAGCAGTTTGTAAACAATACAATTGTAATTCTTTGCTATACCTGTTCAATGAAAAGATTACACAAGATATCCCTCTGGCACAAATATTCCATGATTTAGTTATCTCTGGTTACTTAGAAAGCAATCTTCCTTGCTTGGCTAAAAATTTAAATACAGCGCTTACTACTGGGTAGCTAATTGCTCTAATTTCGCAATTTCCTAACCTCGGAGCAGTGTACCTTCTTTTCCTTCCTTTCTCCCTCTCTGCCTCTGCCTCCCCTCTCCTTTCCTTCCCCTTTTTATTACTTCATTGTAAAGCAAGTGCATACTCGTTTAAAAATTTAGCATATGGAGAAAAGAAAATGTTAGCTACCTTATCATCCAAATACAAATACTGCTAACATTTCTGTGCATTTCTTTTCCAGCCTTTTTCCTAATGTATAGGTTTGGTTTTTATCATCCCCTCCCCACACCTAGTATGAGGATCAAACCCATCCCCCAACCTTTTTTTATTTTGAACCAAGACTAGTTGCTGAGTCACTAAGGTAGGACTTGGATTTGTGATCCTCCTGCCTCAGCCTCCCAAGTGCGGGGAAGATATATGTGTGCCACTACACCTGACTACAATATATAGGTTTTTAAAAAAGAAATAATTGTAATTACATTTCATACATAGTTTTTATTGTGGCGTGTGGGGGGGGGGGTGTGCTGGAGACCCAACCCAAAGCCTTGTGCTTACTGGGCAAGTGCCCTGACACTGAAGTACACCCCCAGAGCCTTAAATTATATTTTTTAAGTCAGGTTAATGAGTTACAAGTTTATGAACAGTTCCATGGGATTTTTTGTTTATTTTTTGTTGTTGTTTCTTTGTTCCCCGGGATTCCAACCAAACCCTGGACCCTATACATGCTGGGCAGTTGCTCTACTACTGAGAACACCCCCTGCCATCCTGTATCTTGATATTTTTAACAATACATAAAAATTAGTTTCCTTTATATGTATCATCTAGTGAATATACTAGAATTTGCTCAAGATTCTTGGTTTGTTTCCAAATGGCCTATGTACATTTGGATTCCCATTAATGATATATGGAAGTGCTCTCAAAGACAGTTTCAGAATGATAAGTACAGTGTTCTTTTGGCCACTGTGCTCTGTTATATGCTTTAAAAATCAAAATTGGCAAACGTGGACCCTGCCTGAAGGAGCTGGTTACTTCTAGTTGACAGATAGTAACATTGCGCAGTACTGCATTACTGAAGGGAAAATTCTGTGAAATCCATTTTATTTCTGTATGTGAAATGTCTTAAATAACTGCAATTCATGTTGAAATTGATGATCTTTCCTTTGTGATACCATTAATGATACGTAATGATAAATAAAATTGGAACGGTTAGTGAACAGATTATTTGAGTAAGGAAAGACGGCTCATCATTTCTTCCAAGGTTATAAGGAGGGTAGCAGTAGATAGCATTAGAATGAAGTATTTACATAGCATTCACTGTTTTACCAAAATTAAAAGTTGAATTAGTCATGAGTCGAGTTTAATTTTGCGATAAAAGATGACTCTACCCTATAACTTCAATCAAGTGTCCAGTAGTTAATTTGCCCACAGGAGAGTTTTGGATCAACCCTGATATCCCTGTTGGGGAAGTTTGGTTCCCATGCCATGCATCAGGAAGAGGAACCTTATGGGATTCCCCATTTCTCTTTCTTTCCGCATTCAATCCATTTTAATGCTTTTAACCAACAGTGGGAAATATTTCATAACCTAATAACCACGTTTGTTAGAAATATACTTCAGAATCAGTGATTTCTGCTGTGGATAAAGTGCATGTATGGACTTTGGAGAAACATCTTTTTTCTTTGTTGCCCTGTGGGTTTATTTGAAGTGTTCTGGCTAGAGGTCCTACAGCAGATAAGAGAAGCGTTACTCCCATACAGTGTAGACTTTAAAGAGAAATGAAGCTTAAGATGCTTGAGGAGCTTGTGCAAGGTTATATACAATGTGAGAGCAATGGTCTAAACCCCAGGACCAGAGCGCTTTCCACTGCATATGTTTTATGAACATTTTACTTTTATCTTGGAAAAGTGTACAGTAGTCTGGTAAGTATTAAATACAGAGATAGTCTCCGTTCCAATTATTGCAGCTAAAATGATGAGTAAGATCTATTCCTGCCCTAAAGAGAAATGTAATGAAAATGTATACGCCATCTGTGAGAATATTAAAATGTAGATACCTAAGTCTCAGTATTGTACTTCTACTTGCATGGAAAGAACTTTAGATAGGAAGTCCCTGGAGACTTGTTTGGTTTTAAAGTGTGTAATGCTAAGTCAGGAACTGTAGGCCATTCAGTTTCTACATCTGAACAAATACCTGGAACATCTGGAGCAAAATTCTTTCAGTGAAATTTAGGAATTTGCAGATCTTCTAGTAGTAACAGACATTTACATGTACCTCAGTATTCTGCAAACGTGTTTGCACACCATTTAGTTTGGTGCTCTGCTCCCATGAAGTCAGGTTATCCCATTTTCTGGGTGAAACTGTGACTTGGAAGTACAAGGGGACTTGCCAAAGTGTGCAGGGCTGGGTCCTGTATTCAGATTCAGGATTTGGGTGCATGGGACATAGGAATGGACTGTTTGGGAAGGCCATAGTTTTCAGTACTATTTCATGTCAGGTGGTGGCTAAGAAGGTTTGAAAATATGCTTTCATTACCATTTGGGAGAGTTAAATCTTAATTCTGGAGAGGGAAAAGCATAACTTTGCCCAGAGGACCTATATTAGAGTATTATTCAGTATATTGGGAAAAGTTTTCAATTAGCAGTAATCGTGCCTCAGATAAACCTCATTGGCTACGATATTGCCACTGAGTAAAGCTCAATATATTAAATATATATAATGAACCATATACACATGTATATCACAATATATACATATATTTTTTAAAGCATTATGCAGCTTTATAGTCTTTTACAATGTCTGAATTTTTACTTTTTTGATTGAGGGAACTCAAAGTAGAAACATTATTTATTAGTCACTCCTGTGTAGGATTTACATTAAAAATAAAAGATTGCTTCAGATCATCTCTTAACATCCTGTCTACATGTAACATTCTATGTGGTTATGTTAATTTCTTATTTTTATGATAGCTTGTACAATGCTTCTTAATTTGACTCTGGCATTCTTAGTTTTTTTGTATGTTATGTAAAACGTGTGTGTGGGGGGGTGTCTTAATCCTTTAAGGTTTTGGGAGACACATGACTTGTAGAGTAGGAAATTTAACTTTTTGTGTTTGGAATTTCTAAGCGTTTGCCTATAGAAATAACCTACTGGTCCTCGGGTTTCTAAACTGCAGAACCAGAAAGCTCAATTATGTGATGGACAAATAAATGAGGTTTTGGGAATGACACAGGCAGAGCTAGCCATCATTTATGAAATCCCTTCTTTGGAAAACATGGCTTCTTCTGCAAGACTGGGGCTTTGTTTCTAGGTCTGTCAGACTCCTCATACTTAAAAAAGGCTCTCAAGGTCACTGACTGAGTAGAACATTTTCATTTCAAAGGTAGAGGATTTTGTACGGGTCAGCCAACATTGTCTAACAATAGAATAGGGACAAGAGCTTGATTTTTCTGCAGCCTCCAGAGGTATTCTGAATGGAGCCTTTTGGCCTGTTCCGGGAATAAGTACTAGTTTTTTGCTTAAGTAAAGTTGCTCATTTTGTTGTGGTGGGAGGAATCTGCGTATAATTTCATTCAAATACATAGACATATATACATCTGAGTCTGTATATTCTGCAATAGATGGAAAAGGGATCAGGCCAACGAGATCTCCCAGAGGGCCTGGAGTTGTCATCACAGTTATTCAGTAGGTGGTCAGACTAAAGTGGTGTTTTCTACTGGTCATAAGGGTAGGGGAAATTAGATTTGTTTTTAGCTATGATTATTAATATATTTTAAGATTTTCAGTTAACATTAGGGCTTAAGGACTGGGGATTTAGCTCAGTGGTTCTGCAGCCTGCTCAAGGTCCTGAGTTTGATCCCCGGTACCAAAAAAAAAAAGGAACTAACATTAGGGCTTAAGATTTTATGTTTATTAAAAGAGGGATGTTCAGTCATCAACTTAAGGAGAAGGGAGAGCTTTAAAGACAAGTTCTTTACCTCTCTAGACCCAGAGAGACTGTTGTGTTTCATTGTAGGCTTGTGTGTGTGTGAACTTAAAGCTCAGAGAAGCTGTGCATCCCCAAAGTCGTTCAGCTCATCAAAGTTGGGGAGCCAAGATTCAATTCTAGTTGTCTGCATGTCAGACACGATCAACTTTGGGGCAGTCAGAACTGTATATTCACAATGGAGGTAGAGATAGGAGAAATTGCAATATAAGATTTTACTGCTAAAATGAAAACTTCTACAGTT